TGTCTACGTCATTGCACTCTTACTTAATCTGCAATTCTATTTACTTACATATTTATATTTAGTTTTATAATTTATTAGTGAGTCATGCACCACAGTTTGAAAAATACTGTAAAGAGTTCTACTTGTCAAGCAACTCACCAGAAACAAATAAAAAAATTATTTTGTAGTATTAGCCCCATTTTTTTTTAATTAAAAAGCAGTATCGTGCCCTATCTACAGTAGGCCATCAACTGATCTGAGGTCAGGGTGCTGACAGTCTGTGAAGAAGGCGGGGAAATTCCACTGTGGACACCCACTCAACCATCTCAAACGAGAGTCATTCTTTATAACCCATCTGTTAGGGGTGCTTGGTTTTCACTCATATGTTTCCCCTGTTTTGGCTTGTATTTTCCTTAATTTTTTAAAAATATTTTTACTGAAGCATAATGGGCACACACAGTAAAATACAAAAATCTGAGATGTACAATTTCATGAATTTATATTAGTATCTCATGTGTAATCATCACTCAAAAGGCTCCTTCGTGCCACCTTCCTAGGCAGCCACCACTCCTACCTGTACGGCGGAGCCACTATTTGGACTCATATCAGCACAGATTACTTTTGCCTGTTCTTAAACTTTATAACAAATAGACTGATACAGTATGTACCCGTTGGTAATGCGCTTCATTTACCGATCATTCTCTCTGACTCTTAAGATTTCTTGGGATGCTGTCTTTTAAGAAGGAAGAATTGCTGAGTCAGTATAAGCCAGTTCTACTTTAGTTAACAAAAAAACTCTTGGTTTGGAAATCATGTGGCATTTGGAACCAAAAATATAATTATCTTGCTGTGATTCTAATTATTATTGCTATATTAAAAAATTCACACAGTGCCACACCTGCTACTGGCACAAGATTACATACAGAAGAGGCAAAGTTGGAGCCCACATTTAGCAGTATTCTAAACTTAGCAACAGTAGACTGTAGTCCATGATAATATGATGGGTTTATCACACAAATCAAGTATCATAAATGGGTTATATTAAACTCACAGAGAGGACGCCATAAATGTCCCAGTGTAGACATTTCACGATTTGGGTTCCTGCTAATTTTGCAACCACCATTTTAACAAGTGAGATAGAATAGAATGAAAAATGTCAAAATGAACTGTATATGATAAGAGTGAGTAATGTTTCAGTTATATTGGGTTGTGATATAAATGGTATTTCTATGTGCAGCAGTAAATACTTTATAGCCACCTCATTATATACTCATCTGAAAAGCACTAACTATATATTGAACAGCTACAATGTGTGTGGCACATTGTGTTAGGTCCTCTGGCACGTGTTATTAAGATAAATAATATTCGAGCCTGTCCCTCAAGGAATTTAGGGGAATATACAAAATATTTGTAAGTATATAAATAAAGTTTAAAAATTTATTGTGTGATAAGGCCATTGTAAAAATAGAGCTTAGAACATTCAGAGAAGATTCATAACAGAGTTGGCATTTGAGTGAGTGGTTATTGATGATGGTTGAAGCACGGCCATGAATGTGATCACTTAGGGAGAGCTTAGAGAGAAGGCGGTGGAAAGGGACAAACGTTGGGGATCCTCTCTTTCCTCCCATCTAAGGAGTAGAAAATGAAACTAAGTCATTAGAAGCAGCCTACATATTCAGAGTGTAGATGAGATAGTAGGGTAGCAAAAACCTAGGGGAAGAGAAAGTTTCAAGAACGAATCACTTGAACAACGTTACGTTACAAGGAGGTTCAGAAAGCTGATGGGGGCATTTATTTTGTCGAATAGTGAATTAGTTGGTTACACTGCAAGTAATTTATTTTTGAAATGTAGGGATGGAAGGAAAGATATATAAAGCAAATTATAAGAAGTAAAAGGAGTAAGTGGGAGAAATAGAAGGGGAAAATAAGGGAATATACAGAAATTTTAAGGAAAGAGGTAGTTGAATGGATTCATATTGGAAGGCTTTATCAATACGATTACACTGAATTGTTCTTTTTAAGATGAATTGAGGTTGGGAATATGGCCAGTGGAGTAGTGGATATCCAGAACTGATACAAGTCAAATAACTTAAAAATTTTGATGATAGAGCAGCAGTAAAGAGAGAGTTGAGGTCAGACCCAATCAGTCCAGTGACTTTCTGCAGTATCTCTTGGCATCTCCAAAAGAGACTTGATAAAGCAGACTGGAAGTGATTTCCAGTGTAATCTGTTGCAGAAGTCGGGAGACCCGATAACCAAAAATGGTATCATAAGACCCAGGCAGGAAAGGAGTGTAAGAAGGAAAGGAGGATCAAGTCCAAGAGCTGGAGGTGGATTAAAAAAACTGGTGTCTGTCCGGAACAATTGATGTTAAATAGCAACAATTTATTTCATTTACTTGCTTAGCTGAAGCATATTTGGAGAGTCACTGAGCACAAAGGGTCTTTTCAGAGAATTCACAAGTAGTATCTATGGCCAGTTCTCTGGCTATAAGTTTTTGCTGCTTATTCCTAAAACAGCAGTAGAATTATAAAACTTTTTTTAAGGTCATGGTTTGTTTTATGACCTTCCAGTCTAGTATTTTGCCTCCTGAAATGGTACCATGGATTCTTTTCTGAATGATTTATCTCCATTTTTTAAACTCATAGGTTTATGATTACATCCCTAAAATCCCAATCCATAATTTGTCTTAGTAGATGGTTATAGCTCTGTTATCTAGATTCTTATTTGAACTTTTGAATTCTGTTTATTTTTACTTCTTAAGATAAGAATAAACCTATCTGAATGTTGAGTAGCATTGTTTCCCAGAATGTGCTTTGCATACATAAGTCCCATGAGATCCCATAAAATAAATGAAGGAGGGGAGGAGATATAGTTTGGTCAGAAAACTTGAGGAAATGCAAGTCATTGTATTACCTTTTGGGATATTCAGAATGCTTATTAGCCTATCAAGGCTATTAGAAGCCTTGAAGGAAAGAAAGTTAATTTTTTTTCTAAATCCTATATTTCTCTAACTTACCTGACCACAAGAACCGCTACCACCATCACCGCCACACAGTTTTGCTTTTGTACAAAACTGATTAATATTCTTTGGAACATACTTTGGGAAATCTTGTTTCATTTGAAAATGTATTCAAAATTCATCTAAAACAGTATGAGAATGAATTTTATTAGCATGTGTGTTGCATACTTATGAAATAGAATAACAGAGACAGATGAAGAATATGAGATGATGTATGTTATGGACAATGGTCAGAGATACGTGAAAGCAAATCAGGACAAAAGGAACCAGTAACATTTAGGAAAAATATTTCAGCCAAAACTTGAGAAAACACTCCTACTTTTGTTACTCTAGGATTTGGGAAGCAAATCTGAGCTTATCACATATATTCCACCGTGACTTTTGCTGAGCAGTTAGTAAAAATCACTGACTAGTGTCAGACTTCTGTGGAAATCTTAGAATGGCCATCTGTTAGGTGTGAAAACTTAGGCATCTTACTAACCTTTTGAGACAGTTTCCTCATCTGTAAAAATGGAGACAAGGTTATAGTGAGGGTTTAATATTATATATACCTTAGTGATGTATGTGCACAAAGTTCCCAATAAATGGTTGACACTGTTAATTATTTGTATTATCTTTTCCTACTCTGCATCCACCTCTCCTATCTAAAGGGCCCTGCTTTAAGGTCACACTTACATAGCAGTCGCTTTCTCTACTCAGTCCTTTAAATTATGTTTT